GTGGTCAGCAGTTAAATCAACAATGCTAATGCAGTGCTACTCATTTGTTCTCAGTGGTGTAACTTTCACCTGGAGAGCTAGAGATTACTCAACACTTTCATTTTCATGCGCATTGCAGCGAGGTGACTCAAAACCCAACAAAACCTTCTTCAGGGCACATTGTGGCCCCTCGAGACTACCCCAAAGACGAAAGTAGACGCGCTTGGAAATCAATTTTCCTGGCGAAGGTGCAATGGCGGGAACCCAAAACTGCCCCTTCATCAGAACCGACAGTGTAATAACCAACATGTTGTACGATATATGGTTTGTTACTTAGTTTTGAAGTATAAATTCATTTTTTAAATTTTCTAACTTTAACTCAAGTCTCAATAGACATGTCACGGATAACAACAAATATATTTCTCGACGTCTCGTAGTCCACCACATTTTTGAAAATTTCTCCCTTTTTTGTGAGATCATCTCTTCTGTTGATATGTGAATACGGATTTTAAGCTTATTTTACTTTTACAACTACAAAAAGTAAAATTACGATGCCGTTTTGGTTTGCCCTCAGGTTTATAATGGGATTAGGTTGCAAGCATCTTCTTCGATTTTTCAAACCAAAGCTTTATCAAAACTCAACACCGAATGCTTCATACTTTACAAAAGCATTCTATCTAAATAAAAGGGAGTAGAATGACTTTCTATTGTGTTTACGTATTTGCTTTGCAGTGGCGATTAAGTGACCTGAGTAAAGCTTTGTTTTGGGGAAGAGAGGCATGCATATAAGACAAATAAGCTGACATGACCCCACGCAAACAATGATTAATCTCCCGCATTATCTTTGCTCTAAAATGGTTAAATAGTAAAATTAAGAACATAACTTGTGCTTCTTCTACGGTCTTACATTCTAGTTTTTTAAGGCTGTATCATTATGCAGTTTGTGCATTTTGGATTTATAATCTACATACCCCGCTACAAACCAAATAACCACGAAAAGTGCTTTTCAAATCTATTTACCCCCTTTTATATCAAAATTAAACAACTTTAAAAGAATTTTAACGTACATTTTATTCAATTAAGAAACTCCATCTCTACAATAAACTAGACCGCCTATTTCAATTTGGTATTGCTTCCATCCCTAGAGGCAAAATATCCAGCTTTGGTCGCTTTTATTTTCATCTCGCTTAATTCCCAACCATCTATTTCCCATGTACAAGCAATGTAATCACAGCCTTCTGCTGATGAAGTAGATGTTGTCTAGGATTTTTTTTTCTTCTGTTAGGTGCTTTGGACCGCATTCAAACTAACTCGACTGTGCGATTAGCAGCTTTGGAAAGACGGAGCCCCTTTTGTCTTATAACTTGCCCATAAAAACCTGGGTGAATTAACCCCTTTTACATAATTTCTAACAATACTTTCATGCAGGCAATCATAAGACAAAGTAGTAATCTTTAAGAGGCATTTGCTAAATAATTCGCTCTTATTTAAACATAAATTCCCTACACCTCCTCTCTGTCCTCCACCAAATGACATTCAAATAGAATGCCAAGGAGAGAGCAGCAGTAATTTGCTCCAAAACCCAATCAAGTGTTTACGATAGAAGCCATGCATTGCTGGTTGCAATACGGAGATTGAAATGTTAAGTGCTGGGCACGAAAACATGCATAATGTGAAATATAAGTGCAAAGGCAAAAAGAAAATGGGTAATTGGGGGCTTAGTGGATCACTTACCTCTCCCATCTTATGGAAGTTTGTTTACATAGCAGGAGTATGAGCGGAATCTAGAACAGATTCACCTGTTGGGACACCATGTGGAGCCATGGGAACGACTTTTAATGATAACAGTAGGCGCTGTTAGGCAGTCATGGTGTCCAGAAAGGAAACTACGGTTACCTCAGGTTCCATACTTCTGGGAACAGCCAACGTTGAATGCTTCTTAATGTCATCACAATTGCTATTGATTTTGGCTTTTCCCAATAGTGCCTCGGGACTTCTAATTTTGTTTATTTGATAAATAAAAAATGCATCAAGTAGGCATCTGCAATATTACTGGTGAGTGCACACGATGTGCTAAGAACTGGCTTCAACGTGTCCGCAAGTTGAACAGAAGCTTTCAACTTCTCCCCTCAAAGGATGACACTACCAACGAAAGGGTACCGAAGTATTTTGGTGCAGTGTGTTACATTCTCCTGCAGTCTCAGATTAAGGCCCCACTTTATCTGAAGTGTGAAGGGATGAAGTCAAAGGTAGAAGCTAAAATATTGTCCGATTACCATTGAGTAGTACAAGAAGGTAATTGTGTTAAATTGCTACCAATCCATACCAAAATTTGCTGGTTTAATATTTTATTAAAGTGCTTTAAATGGGCTTTGGTCAAAAAATAAGTATGAATGTTGATAATGTTGAAAATCGCTCAGCCCTACTACATTTCTGCAACGTAAATGCAAACACGTATATACTACTCATGAAACTGCATAGTAGTGCATCGCTGACCACTAGATGACCGCATTTCCTCTACTTTATTCAAGAAGGAGGGTATATTTCCCAGAAATTTCCTAGTTATTCCTCTTTCTAGGATATAGTAATGAATGATTTATGTACTGACGTAAAAATGCTGAAATTATAAGGGAATTGGCCTGTGAAGCTGATCCCCTCTTTTCGACAGACCACGTAAATCTGAGTGGTAGATGAATTCGTCAAGCGGCCTTTAGAAAATTTACTAATTCCTCTCCAGTGAATCAAGGTTGTTTGCTAACTTGGTGCTTAAAATGCAACTAAAAAATATCTAACCATAAAAATAAACATAAATACAAATCTTTTTAGACATTAATGGCTTTATGAACTTAAGTGCACTGTGCCCCCTACTCACTAGAAAATGGTCTGGGTGTCATATAATTTGGGTTGAGCGCCTTGATTTTTACCTAGTTTTCAAGTTTTGGACGCAAATGCATCAAACGCGAATGATAAAGGCTTCATGTTTAAGCAAAATTACGCTCCCCTAATTTGAAATCACTCACAAAATGGATTATCATGTAAATGACTGCATTCAGTAAAACCTACGATTAAATAACACTCCACTTCAGATGCAATGATTTGGGCATTAACACCTTTATTATTACATAGGACTATGTTAAAAAGACATCGGATTCGATCTTACCAAGTCCAAGAATCTTTGCGACCCTCAAGAGGTCACAATAAGGGAAGTTTCCATATTTTGATATGATTTTCGTAAGTAAACTAGGGGCAAAATTCCTAAGAGATGAAATAATGAATGAACTGGTCCGTTAAAAATCCTAATGTGATGGCAAGAGTTGTAAGTCTGGTAAAATGGGGCATTGTTAGGGGGCATGTTTTGTTACTTTTTCGAATTTGGTCATATAATAAGGAAAAATCAAAACCACCATATTTAATTAGGCCATAAAACGGTAAGTGTAACTTTGTCACTTAAAGTAAAGGAATCCTTGAGTTATACTCCAGACGAATTTAAAACCTATTCTGGTAGTAATTCAGAAATACAAACATAAGCTGATGACAGGCGAAAGGCATTTTCCCCTGGGCACGTATTATCTTGCATGGCTGCAGGCTGCCGGTTGGTGGGAGCAATGGAGCATCATTGTCATCCACTCTCCTTTCCTAAAATATTCAGTGGTTCTATCTCCTCTATGATCGTTCCCACCTTTGGAACACACAGTCCGCATAATATGGTCAAGTCAGCTACCTACACTTTACCTAAAAAAGGTAAATTTGGCACAATTTCACACAAATTCATGCTTTGATATTTCCTTTCATCAAAGTACTTTAATTCAAACTGTCAAATGTTTTAACATTACGATAATAAAAGCGGAACTTAAAATGCGGTCTGTGGAGAAACATGCAATGGAATAGCAAATTTTTCACCAACAAAGACCTTTTGGAAGCAGCAATTTATGAAGAAGTTCATCCTGAATAGATAATAGTAGTATGCGCGAATACACTGTAGGAATTTGCAAATATTACTATTTAAATACCATTTTCAAGTAGTGCTTTGAATGCTTCTCTCTTTGGAATTTGAATGAACTGATCACTTGTTGAGTATAGTAAAAAGGTGCGAAATCGAACCCAAAGAAGAATACTACCTTAGATATGACTATTATTTAAACCACCATAAAAACTTCACTCCTTTTTTCACTTTTAAGTGAATTTTCCGTTTCTACTAACGAAAATGGCTAAAAATGCCCTCATGTTCAAAATTTTCATTGCTGTAGGTCACTACTATTATAACTTTATAACCTTTTAATCTCTAGCATTGTCCATATATAGTTCAGCCACCCAGAAGTTGCATAAGGCTTTATTTGGACTGTCAAGGATTTAGACGGGTCCATACTTCCATAGAAGTTTAGTTAACAATAGAATCCAAGAGTGTTTTTCGTTGGGGCCGAAAGATGTTTTTAATTGGGCAAATTTTGGAAATGCTAGCTTTAAAGAATAAATAGTGATGCTCTGATAGATTACATGTGCAGGTAAATTTCCGTGGATTGTAATTACGCTCGGTGGCATGGCTGCCAAGCCATACCAGTAGCCCCTCAGCTCTCTTGTACGGTAGTAATATATTTTTGGCTTTACAACTGCGACTTCGAATGGCTTCATTCAAGACTTGGGTGTCGGAGTGGTGGTAACTGTAAGATAATTTAGTCCTAGAGGACAACTGCCCTGATTTCTGCCTCTGGGTGCTGAACCTTATCGTGACAGGAGGGCACATGCCTCTGATGAGGGGACCTGTGAGGACTGATAATATATGGGTTGAAAATGATGTCCATCCTTAAAAGTTCGTTACTAAGCTGCCTACAGTACCTGCATAAAGATTTCAATGAAGAGAACACATGATACCTCCTCTGCCTCCGTACTTACTTAGTGGAACCCGGATAGTTACTCGGAGAGGCAGCCCTAAAGTAAGAACAACGTAGCAATGAGAGACAGATGCGAAACCGTATTCCCCCCTCTAATAAATGACTTGGCTTTTAGGCCAGTAATATAAGGACTACACATTCCTCTAGATCTAGTGATGTTGCCAAGATGGATCAGTGTAGTTGCAACCAAATATTTTCTCTGTCTAACGCCAATCCGATGACTGGCACCTCTAGTTTGTGGGTGTGTTTCTTACTGCATCAACTAAGTTGGGGTGATCGACGCGGGGGGATGACCAAGGGGCGTGACCAAGGAAGAAGTTCACAGGAGAAGATGGATTTTGTAATTCTCTGACGGTTTGTTCATAACAACCTCGTAATACATTAATAAGGCATTAGATAGCCAGGTTGTATTCTCTGGATACACTAGATAAACAAAATTAGACGAAAATGTCTTGGCGTTTTTCATCCTCTAATGTCAAAACCTGTAGATTAAACACGTTGCGTTGGCACTCGTAATGAATTTTTCTTGGTTTTGTTTACTAATGACAATCAGCGAGTTTAGCAAGGTGGTTTAAAATTTTAAGCTAAATATATATTTTATTTATTTAAACACCCTCTGATAAACCCGAATTTACTTGATAAACCTAACCTCGGTTCTTGGATTACACACATGACCTGGATTGGCAATATCTCTGCTTTCTACTTGTTGCATTCACCAGATCACCTTCTACACTCTAATGTTCACACTCATATCTCAGTGTACTACAATGAGTCTGTATAAACTTCAGAAGGAATTAACTTGAAATAGCCTCAGTAAAGTGCATGTGCACTTTTGCCGTATCCAACTCTCTCACCAAACTTATCTACAAATGGTTTTAAAATGTGAAAAATAAGGCAATCTTTCAAATTTTTTCAATCACAAACAAAGCAACTGGAGCTCATGCTTTATGGCAGTTATCTAAAGGAGAAATTGAACTTCAAATCGTTAAAATAAATGTGTAATTTCCACCTCAAGGTATATATTCAAGCCTCAACCTTGGAACAAAGTATACAGAGCACCCATAAACCGGTGTTGGTTTCCAGATTTTGGACTACATAAATAAAGTAGAATCATTAGTGTTACTGATTGCCCCTCAAGGGTAGAAATAACAGGGGGATTGGACTATGTGAACATGTGGGAGCGCAACAGTGGCGGGGTGAATTCAATGGGCAGTCTGGAGTAAATTAGATTTTGTAAAAACAGTGATTCACATCCACTGCATTAAAAGGTAGGACTTATAATATGGTCAAGACCACTATTACAGTAGGCTAGGTATTTCTCTTTTCCACCTCATACTCCATTTGTTAAAAGAATGGGACGATGCATTGGGTAGGGATGTCACGGTTAGATGGATTCAAGGCACGTCTCCTCCCCGTAATTACCAGCCTCCTCTTGCCCAAGAGGTACATTTTAACAAGTATATAATATAATGTGCACAGCTTTCACGGTACGATGCTCCACAAAATAAACAAGACTACCATTCCTATTTGGCAAAACTGATTCCACGAAATGCGGAAGAAATCGGTGATAAAATTTGTTTGTGTACACAGCGTACCATCTGAACTTTCATTCGTTTATCTCTTCTTGATCATGCGATTCCTTCAAAGCCCTGATTCGCCGTTACCAGTCAATAAACGCCAAATCAAAAAGTTGTTTGTGAGATCTGCTGCGAGTCTTGTTTCAGTTATAATGGATGGAATGAATCAAAACCTATAAAAAAGTAGGTATCGAATGTGTAATCACTTCCGTAGTGATAAAATCTGTATTTCAACATATTCAATCTCTACTGCGATTAAAGAACCTACCCCAGCAACCGAGAATGAATTTATTTCTATGCTGGTAAAGCACAAACATTTTATTTTTTTACCCTTTCTCTATATATTGGATTTCTAAATGTAACCGCAAAGTTCTTTTAAATATAGTTGCTTGATTTGCCGTATAAGAGTAATACTTTTTTTGATCAACTGTTTTGATTTCGCGAGCGCTTAAGCTTCCGCCTTTGTACTTCCGCTGGGCGAAATGGCTCTTAAGTCGTACTAGTAGTCCCCCCAGCCCTTCCTGTTCCCATGACACTATTGTAAACCCGTCCATTATTAAATGACTTGTATTTTAGTCCAGCATTCCTACAACAACTGATGAACATGTGAGACTACCAGCACGTCTCCCTTCCCCAACACAGTATCCAAACAGAAAGAAGCTGAAGATCCTGTGGAATTTTCAAGAGGGATTAATGACTTTACAGCCATTTATCTTCTCAGTTACACAAATGTGATGAATGGTGTGAGTGAGTTGTGTGATGGCCTACGCAGAAGGCTGACCAAGGAAAGCAAAAGGGCCGAAGCTTAAAAGGGGAGGTTAGCCATGTAATGTTCTGATTGTTTGTTTGTAATCTCATCTTATTTGCGCAGCCACTTAAAGCTCAGCCGTTGTACTTCTGCCGGGTGGATTCTCCTTTGATGCATGCCAGTAGTCCTCAATCCCTCTTTGCGTCGTCAATACATTTTTTGTCTGAATACTATGATTTATTCAAATATAATGGAAGACTCAGAGAGCTAAATAAGTAGTAGTATTCTGCCAAATGTCTTAACTTTAGTTTATCTTTTTAAAAATACCAGAAAAAATTTAATGTATTTTGTCCACGTGGTCAAGGCACCTGTCCTATTTTATGCATCTCGGGAGTGGATAACTAGATTTTGGCCACTCCTCAGGTTGTCACTTTGACAATGAATTTTCTGCAGACAAAATACAAAATGTTAATAACCACTAAGTTAAATGCTGGCTGTCCATTTTGTGCGAAAAAGGTATTGATAGTAATGCTACATTTAACAATCAAAAAATGAAATTATACTCTCAAGTTTTTTTCAAAAGATGCAAGAATTTTAATTTCCATCGAAATTGGAAACCGTCAGCGATTAAGTGATCCTATTTCCAAATGTAAAACAATTACAGGATTTCGCTTCTATCTATCATACATTAACGAATTTTATTTGGATTCTAGCGATTTTCAAACCAGAATGATTAGGAGAAAAAAGAATTCCATACTGGCGTCCCTACCTGCTGACGAGTTGTCAAGGCGTGTGTGTAAAACAATGGTTAGCTGATTGAAAAGGTCACACTTTGGTTCCATTCTTGCTCACTTAAAGCATCCTGCTTGAAATAGACCCTATAGTGATTGCTGGTACCTTTGTAGTTCATGTATGTGTGCTATTGGCCAATCAGAATAATTGAGCAGGAATGTGATTGGTGAGGCGGGTTAGAATGTCTGCGAACTTGATGTAAAAATAAAACTCCTCCGAAATCGAAAAAGAAATGTCTTCTGGGATTACAAACTTCTCTAGCAAGAAGTTGTTGATAACAGCGTTTTTACTGTCCATAATTTTCGCTCAGTCAGACTCCGCAGATGATGCTGATTTGTACCATCAGTAGGGCACCACTTTAGGCTTCTTGTTGTTTAGTATACCTAGGATGTAATCCATTTCGATGTCAGATTTGAGTGTGATAGCAGATTTTCATGTCAAATATGACTTCTTAACCTGGGTAAAATCTTTTCAGCGACCCGTCCTTAGGGTTACGACCTATAATCGTAGGCACAGAGGTCAAAGTCTGTTTAGAATTTTGTCAAAACTGTCGGTACGGATCCTTTAGGACTAAGTTTCATTTGAGAACAATAATGCACAAAAAACAAATATTTTAGATACAATAAAAAATACAAACTAATAATTGGGTTTTCGGTTTGCTTTAACGGGTGAAAATATACTTCTCCTGTGCACGAATGTGCAAATGGGAACAGGATATAAAGAAGAGTAAAATATGAATCCACTCCAACCTATAGGGCAGAGCTAGATTTTCGCCGCACAAAATGTCATACGTTTTCCATTGCGCCACTCAGGTGCAACTGTTAATTGCTTTACACAAGATGCGTGAATGCGACTGCCACCGAAGGGATTGGAGGCCTGTGCAACCCACCTTCTCTAGCCTGTGGAATTTAAATTTGGAATCTGGGTCAAATTCACCTGATGGGTTATCTTACTGTGCCGTACCGGTAAGAAGCAATGAACGCTTTTTCCGGCTCTTAGAATATGAGGACGATTCCAATTTGTGCTTTCATTAGGCTAAGCTGGATTGATCTTATGCTACCTCAGTAGGTGAGCAGGCTTCCACTTGGAGTGAATTTCACAATTATGAAATCATCAAATAATTGAATATGAGACAAGAAAAGCGAAGCTTCATGCTATTCGCCTTCTCTCCTGCTTGTGTAAGTTTGTTTGCACAGAGAAGATGAATTTCGCAACATAAAAGACTCGCCCAACATGTTATCATCCGTTTTTGGCTTCTGTAAGGTTAACGAGGTTGGCTTTTAGGCCCCTTAGTAGGGGCTTAGCCTACTACACAATGTGAATTTCATACTCATGGAATCATGAAAGAATTTAACATAGGCCACTTTAAATTCACCATTTCGCATTCTTTAATTATTGCATGCTAAAATGTTACTTTAAAGTTCACTCCTTCTTGTGACCTTATACCTGTTTTATGTGATCCGCTGCCAAGACCTTCTTGTGAATAAATTTTTCAAAATACTCTTACCAGTAGCCAATTCGCATTTCATTTTAATATTTGTTGCTCCACTCTATTTAATTTTTGGAACGTTTTAAAATTCGCTTGTTAGTAGTAGCCAAAAAAGTCCCACTATCGCATTTAATTTACATGGTTATTTTTTCACAATTCCGTATTTTGCTTTATATCACAAGTTTCCTTCAATGAGTGCTTACAACCCTAGAAAGGCGCTCCTGCTAGTGTCAGCCTTTAAGGGCTGCATTTCATGAATTGAGTCCCGATCATTCCAGAATGTTCCAAAGCTAAAACTCTGGTTAAGCTTCTCTCGATTAACCATTATCGCATACGACGTCACAAGTTCAAGGACATTAGGGAAGGGACATGAAAATGTAAGAATGGTGACCCCCGCTTTACTCTAGTGCCTCTGCACACTAGGAACGCATTCTTAGTACAGCCAGATCCCCTTCCTGAACTCTCCCTCTCTTTGACATTTTAATTGGGCACAGGACTAATCGGTGTCCACAGCGCATTTGCGGGTCACAACAATTTTAGAGATAGCCTATGAAATATGCGCCATTTAGGCGTTACTCCACAATATGTAATTTTAAGCCCTGTTCAGTCTATGGAGCCTCTGCTGATTTGTCTCCTGTAATATGATATAAGAATACCTGCAAATTTGTCTACTTTTATAGTGTTAGTAAATGAATCAAAGTCTCACTCTAATAACTGAGGATTTTCAAATCACTCAAGTAAATAGTGGTCTTCAGTTAGCATGATTTACATCAATTAGCCCTTTTTAAATTGCTATTATAAGGCAAGAGAATTTGGGAGGGGTTTAAAACTAACCCAAACTAGCACATGGACAGAGCTATATTTTAAACCAGGAAACTTCCATATGACCTCATAAGTGTAAAATGTAACACCGGGGACAAGTGTTTAGTATCCTTTAAATATATACATGATATGTTAAAAATCGGTTAGTGTTTAAAAAATAAGGAGAAGCTTTCACTCGTTTTCCTTAAAGGGCGACTGGGCTAACGAGGCGGCAGTGAAGTAATTAGGCACGGCACCGTGGGTCCTTTTACGGTAATCCTTCTTCAGATCCAGCGGTTGCTGTGGAGGGCATGAGGACAAATTTGGCTGGGGCCGAAGACTAAAAGAAAATTATTTGACTAACATTTTGCAGATACATGAGTTTAGATTAAAATAACTTATTTATATCTGGCCTAAAATATGCGCAAAAAATTTGTTGCTTTCTAAGCGGCGCAGACCTCGCCATATGTCTGCGTATATAAAAGTCTCGAACTTAAATAATGTTACCAAAAAGCTACCTTATTCTATAAGATAGCAAAAATCCCAGTTCCATTTACCCCAGGAAAACTTGATTTAGTGTACTCCAAAAGAGATCCCTTATTCTTTCGCAAGATGCAGCTGCCAGACTGACTTGTTTACCACAATCAGATTGCACTTTAGAAATGGGAAGGAGGGACCTGACGACTTCTGGAGAAACAAGGGCTAGACAGAAATCACCAACGGCGAGCTGTTGACAAGACAAGCCGCAGCGAGCTTGTGCTAGATGGGGATCGCATGAAGACCAACCTTGCGACCGAATGAAGAAGGGCTGTTCTCTGCTGCAGATGTGATCGAATGTTACCGGTGGCTAAAATTTACCCATTAATACTCTATCACTTTCCCATTTCGATTTCCAACTTTTTACAATAATTCATTATAATTAATAATATTTTCATTGAGTTGGAAAATTTATAAGTCTTACGTATGGAATCAACATCTTATAGAATAAATCATGGACACCAAAACTATCTTCGGTAACCAGAGTTTTTACCGCTGAAACATAACAGATTTCTCAAATGTAAGCATGTTTTGCTTTAGAAAAACACATTTGACCTCTTTGAATGTTGATAAAATATGAATTTTATTTTCTCAAAGAGCACCCATCAGGTTGTAATTGCGCACTTACATTAAGGCCAACATTCTCCTATGAAATCAGTAATCAGTGAGCTTTAGAATTTTGATGAAGTTGGGGTTAATTAGCCACGCTGTTTACAGGAGCATAGCAAAACATCGTTCTTGATTATCTACACCACGCCGAGGTTATTAATTCTAATATGCCTTCAGGCCTTTCGATTTTTTTAGCATGTCGCAGGATGTGAAGCCGAAGATTGTGTACAAAGTAATAATGCAGGTCCCAAAGGAGCTGAAGAGGCGAATCGAAGAAGAAAGAGCCAAGAAATGGGCTCTAATGACCTTAATAAAACGTGGATGAGGGCAAGAATAGCCATCGCTTGTCACAGATTGAATTAAGAGTGAATAATCATAGCATTCATGAGCTTTTCGACAAGTTTATCCACTTGTAAATAAAAGCGAAAGACAAATATTATTATTTTGAGTATAAAAACAAATTACAAAATTGGTCCAATTATTGTTTTTTTCATTTGGTTGTCTGAATTGGAAACAAAAGCACTGTTGAATAAATGCCACCTCAAGGCCCACCATGAAAGACGTGGAAATATATGGAAATCAGCATATCTCGGAATATTATACTAAAATAATGCAGCCTTTTTTCTTGACGTCATCACCAATCACACACTTAGGGTATCATTAAAAAGGTATCAATGATATTGAGACGTTTAACAAAACTTAGGTTATTTATATATCAGATTAAATTTCTTACCAGATAGGAGAAATTGGTATTTGTACACTCCTGCTCCGTGTGAATATTTAACGAAAATCGTATTTTAATGAGCCCTCGTTGATAGCCTGTCAGAGAAGTCTCCATGAAAATGCTTTCAACCTTCACCCACTGGAGAGATCTCTCCTCACCGATCGACATCGCGGTTCGTAGGAAGTCAGAAAATTTGAGACCCTCGATTTTCTGAACACTTTCATCCGCAAGCTTAACTCTCCCGCTGCGTCGAAACGGAGATCCAACATTCCTTTTTGACAAACACGCGTGTTTATGGGATCTCATAAAGGCGGGGGTACGTGAAGGAGGGCAAGGAAGAAATGGAAGAGATTGCAGTGACTCTCTACCTTGGAAATGAGTGAATAAGGTTGTAATAGCTTTTAGCGTATTTATTTGATTGGGTGTAATTACTGAATTTGGCGAAGGGAATAAAGTGTTTTGCGGGAAGTGTCGCAGGTGGTTACCACTTTCAGTCACTTGGTGTGGAAGAAGAGACATTTGGTATTCTAGAGAAAAAGTATATCAAAACAAGTTAGCCTTCTGAAATTTATATGGCCATAGGTAAATCTCATTACAAAAATTGGACAGACTGCTGAATAATTTATATGATAATGAGCTCCACCTCCACTTACTACAGTCCAAATACTGCAAAAAGTACTTGCTGAACGTACGTTAATAATCCAGTTTCTCACTGATATGTCACATGAAAGAGGTGTGCCAGTGGTCGCGTTAAGCGCATGCTGCAAAATTTGACCGCAATGACCTGATTGGTTGGTGGAAAGATGCACCAATGTGCTCCACTGCCCGCCCCCGAATTGCGTTCGGCCACTTCTCCAATTACGAGTGGCCGGCGAGCCATCCCTGCCACACCCACCCCACCTACGCGACTGCCACCCAAATGTGACCAATCATCTCTATGCAACCCTGGCAAAATGAATTCTGCTGTAATTGGTACCGTTTTCTTTGAATCACTTTTTTAGATGCAGCATTAAAAATGTGATATTACAATGGAGTATTGGGAGGGAATAAAACACTGATTATCATGGTCCTTCAAAAAGCTATGCTTATGCTAAACAAAATTCAAGGCTGCTAAAATCCGGTTAGTTGTAGGAAAAATAAAAGGAGTGGGAAATGATGTGAACAAAGATTGTTTTTCATGACATTTGGGGATACGAGCTTAATTATGACTGCATTCTAAAATGGTTTAATCATTCTGGCTCGATTTCATTTTGAAGGTTGTAATTACTTTGTAAAACATTAGGACTTTTGAGCAAATTTAGGTTTGAGAGTGTTCAGGCATTTCAATTTGATAGTATCGTAGTAAAAATTATTGATGAAATATTTACGTACGGAGTCAGTGGGATTTTGCAAAATTCGCATTTAATACTACTCATTTTCCATGAAAGGGACATAGACAAATAAATAGCCAAGGCAACCTCTTTACAATGAAGACGTCAGTGCTGACAATCTGGCAGAATACAAACTACAGTGGAATATTTTTGGATCCCACATTCCTGATCATTGATGCAAGCAACTGTAAATATAAAAGACACTCAAAAGGGTAAAAATAAGCGGTAGACACCACATTCACGAAAAAACTGGTTATTTTTGAAGTTGCTTTTTTTTGAGCACTTGCACTTAAAAACCAAATATTTCGGCATGCTATTGCTATAAAGTCAAATATAGCCTCGATGAAAGCCAATAAGCATCGTAAATATCATAACTCGTTCGAACAAAATTCTGCCAAATATTTTGACTTCCAAGTAATGGAAGTAAACGCTAATTGTAGTAATTTTAGGGTGTTAATAACCCATAAATGAATATATTTTCTCTAGTGTAAAACATAGCGGAATCAAAATCAAATTGCAATGTAAATTTTGTGACAAATAACTGTTAATTGAGCTGTATATGATGAAGAAGAAACGATAAAACACTCCTTTAAACTTGCCTTAGTTGTTGCCGTGAGGGGTTAATTATTTTCGTTTGGATACATTATTCAAGGCAAGCACCAATCCTTTTTTAGATATTGCATCTATCTGTTACGTTTTCACAAAATCTGACCTAAACAGAGAGACCGCTACATTGACAACGTCTGGCTTTGCTTAATAAAAGAGAATCTCAAGGACCGATAGGCGGGACCCCTCGTGTGTATAAACAAACCACGGTTTTTTGTTTAACCTTTTTGGCGCTTGCGTACGCGTACATGAGTGTGTTCGTGCCGTGCGCACTCGAAAAAACCACGGAGCGTATCTCAGAGACCACTGTTTGTGCGTTGTAGTGTTGATAGCGCACAAGAGTAAATAGAGCGGCTATTGAAACTGGCGACACCAGAGTGTACGTGTAATGTCATCGAGGCGTAATTGATGTGGCCACAAACGTCAAACCCGGTACACACTCGAGGTGTACACAGGCAAGACAGTTTTGAGAAATGGCTAATTTGGGGGCTCAAGCTTAAAGGAAACGCATATCTCTTCTAGGGGTTTTAATAAATAAGTCCATTTAAAATGCATTTTTTAATTTTAGCTGAATTTGCCCTCGTCATTTATTTGTAAATTTGCTTAGTTACTTATTTTACTACCTTGCAGCATATTGATTAGAAGAACAATGAGTAATTAATTTTAACATACTTAAGTAATTTATACTAGTCCACAAATGCTAAAATGCCTTTTAAAAGGTGCAAAAAGTTCTTGTTTACGAAAAATTACCATTCATTGGATTAAACTTTACCGTTATTGTCAGTGGTTGCTTTTAATGAGTTAATTGGCGTAAATGTCACCACCATTTAAAGTATAAACGCTGACAATTGACCTGTGAAAAAGTATTTTGACACAAGGAACAGATTTCCAGCTAACATGATAACAAATAAAATCAAGTTTTTTTAGACAACTAAATTTCTGTTTTATAATGTTTTGCTTTTAGGTGTTACACTTGTGCAATCCACAGTATTCTATGCTAAATTTAAGGACTAATTTAGATATTAACAATGTTAATTTACTTTGTATATTTTGGTCAAATTTCTAACACTGTAGATTGGTTAGAAGTTCACTAAATTCTTTCCCAGAGATGCCGCATTTCAACTTTGTTATGATTAGTTGATTTTAACATCGATGAGGAAGCCACTAAACATGAACATTTGCTTACCTTCTTCTTTACGGCCTTACTTTTTAGGTACATGTTAAATAATGTCAATTTATAATGCAGATGAAGTTTGATTTAATCACAAGTCGTTTAAAATGCTTGAATGAATGTGATACGAGTAAGTCAAAGAATCTGATCCACGACTACTGTAGTGTAGGTAAGTTGGTTTCAAATGCCGTAATCTGACGAGTGTTGCTTACGCCTGAAAAACCGCTATTGTGCTTTTCAAATTATTAACTATGTGAGGATCAAATTGACGGAATAGCTAGAAGTGTAACACTAAATCGAATGAAATATGGTGCTTTTTCCTATTCCACATGGCATAAAATTTACTTAAAATATTACTATTAACATGAATCACTTAAGTGAAGTGTATGGTTCATAATATCAATTTTTTCATCTTTAGTTTGTAAACCGTTTCCTTTGGCGCCTCAATTCCCTAGACTTAAGAGATGTTTCTATTTACCAAGTGTGGAGGGATACACATTATTTACTATTGTCACTCCGTATCAACCTAGCATTTTCGGTTGAAAATGGGGTCGATTAAAGTGCTTTTTTTTGTCTATCCAACACTTTAAAACCTAAACAACTTCCATTTCTCCTTATTAATTGACGTACCAGGGCTGTATTTTTAAAGCTGACGATTGAGTTAATTGCCTTTATTTTTTTATTGCGCAAAGGAAATATGTTGAATAACTCATGCTTGTGTTTGGTTTATATTGTCCTTTTGAGCTGCATTTCCATTGCTATCTAAACGACTTTGTACTATCACCTTCTGATTGCCACTTTGCATAGAAAGCAATACATCATCATAAGGCTAGGTGAAGGTATGAATCACTTGAAGACGCAATGCTCAGCTAAACAATGGTAATCCATCGTGGTCATTTAATAGCCCGCAAATAAATACCTTTTAAAGAGGTAAAAGATGGTAGGCTTACTAGTCCAGTGCTTTCACTCCATTCAGAAAACAAGCGATTAGCGCAAGGTCCAAGGTTTTACAATGTTAATGAATGACAAAAGGCGCTGCACCGAATGTAGAAACTACCGACTGAAAGGTAGTAAACAACGCTTTTGTAAAAAGATGACACCAAAAAGGCGCCATAAAATTAAAAAGCCTACGGAACGATATTTTGTTTTCGCCCATGACTCCTAAACACTTAACTTTCTCTATAACAAACATTTTAAACCGCCTGATATCTAACCCTCAATTTATTCATCTGCTAACCATTCACGAATTCTTTGCAAACTTAGACAGGCTACTGGACTAGTTCAGGGTTTTTAAATTTAACTTAAGGACTTCTAATGAAGCTACAAGAAAACGTTGGCTCACAGATAGAATAAAAAAAACGCGGTTAAAAATGCGAACTGTACTTAAAACAGTCTGAGTAGTATCTGACAGTGTTCTAATAAGCATTCACCTCTGGAAACTTTATTTGTCAAGGCAAGCTACAAATAAAGCTGACCAGTAAGTGAGCCAACCACTTACTAAAATATTTATGATTAAAATTAATCGTTTTCTGTCGAGCAATCACGAGCCAAATGGCTCAAACGCTTAGTGTAAAAATGGATATAGTCGTTTGTCAATTCCATAAACATACTTTAAATCAGAGAAATGATCATTCTAAATAGGGTAGTCAATTGTTTAATTAAGGTAGAGTTCGTAATGTCTTGATAGTTTGTTTAATTCCGCTTCCGATTTAGTGAGCAGTTAAGTCTCCACAACTAGTACTTTCACCCTGTGGCATAACGTTGGACCATAGGAGTGTCCTCCACTCTTCGATGTCAGTTGACCATTTCCTGCCATATTACTATGAAATCTTACGGTTTTAGAAAAGACACAATAAGGCAGCATCGGTGGCAGCGGCAAGCGAACCCTACCTTCTCTTTCTGAATGCTAAAACCCAACGCGATGAAAGAAGGGCTCTGCACCTGATGGGAGAATCTGTGCAGACTTCTAGTAGAAGGGTTAAAAGGGTTTTGTGTTCTGTAGAAGGCCTATTAACAAATGAAGCTACACTAGAAGGCAGCCATCTGCAACTATCCGTTACGGAGCAGTCTACGATACCTATATAACGATGTCGACGAAGTGAACACGCCATATCTGCAGCTCTTTATTCCCTGGATGGAGTACAGATAAATATGTATAGGAATCGGGGAGGTAAGAACAAAGCGGCAAGGAGGAACAGGCGAGAAACTGCTTCAAAGCCCGTCCTTATATAAATGACTCTGCTTTTGGGTCAGTGTTCCTGCGACTAGCGATAAACATTCCACCTTCCCTTAAGACATTTTGTCAGGCAGGACAGAACTTCAAATCCCGTGTAGTCACCATAAGGAATTAGTAAAGACACAGTTGAAAATCTTCTCAGTTCCACCAGAATGCACTGGCTGCAGTGGGTGGATCGTGGATATGTTGTTCTTGCAGCACTGACTACGATGTGATGGCTGACGCGGGAGGATGACCAAAGGGAGCTCCAAGAAAGAATCTCATAGGGTGAGGAGGCTATATAAAGCTTCGATTACTTCCTCAGCTCTTCGTCTTCGTCTGGCGGGCACTTAAGGCTCCGCCTTTGTACTTTCGCAAAGGGGCGTGACCCCCGGGCCATTCTGTACAACGGCATTACACATTATGCCATGGTGTTGCGTGCCTTTGGTCTTTGAGAAAGACTTAGGATGCGACATTTTATTTAAGAGTAACAAAATACTTGAGTTCTAGTGCGTTTACCAATAAAATTAAAGAAAATATTGTTCTGTAGAGATGATGGCTGCCAATTAACGCAATTGCCGTTAAAACCATGTCATTAAGAAATATGTGGACAGAATATTCGCATTTGCATGGCTTTAGGACTGCTTAAAATATATTCCTAAGTAATTTGCCTTACTCAAAAAATAACAGACCTTTTCATTTAAACACTAAATTTGTGATGAATTTTCTGTTTTTACCTTCAAAAATCTGTAAAAGCTAATGACTTCTGATCCTATTGTACTGGATTTCTGAGGTAAGCAATGGAATGTGCACTTTAAAACCATTCAAGAAGATAGTGTTTTTTAAAAAGACAATTTGTGGCTCTCCAAATCCTTTCTTGAAATCGAAAGCAGTCATAATACTAGGACAGAAGATGCAACGCCAAAGTATGAAAGTGATGATTGCACCACTGTTATCGTCCAGAGGCCGTACTACTTAGTGGGTGTACAATAGCGGAGCCTCAGGTGCCCGCGTAACCGAAACAAGAACAAACAAACAATCAAAGTGAATTAAAATAAGTGTACTGTGTTTTCTGTCATCCCCTAGTTAAGTTAAAAGCCGTAGTTTTTCATGTTTATTTTGTCAAACAGAACGTGTAACTCTACTTTTTGCATTGTCTTTGCCTTAAAGTAAAATCTAGGATCGCTGATTGTTTCATTTACAGCTCATTTTACACGTACGACTTTAAATCCCTATGTCATACAAATAAGATACACATCACCACCACCACAAGTGCAATTTCAGTCTATGAAATAGCAAGGATAAAAAGGGCTGGGTTAAATCAACTTTCCAGATGGGTTTTATGCATTTCACGATACAGTCAAGGACTTTTTATCATATTATCTGTACCCTTTGAGTGTTTGGCCTTTTTGGAAGTAATGCGCCGCAATAGTACCCCAGTGTATACACATGTGGCATTCACACAGAATGCCAAGGAGAGGGGTTAAGGAGGCAACATCAATCTACTCCAACTTGTTACGCGTAATCCCCATACTCCTTTGCCTTTGTTTACGCCAAATGTGGCCCTTCCTCTGTTGCATCACAGGAGTATAAATGTTAATAGCTACATTCACATCCTCGTATGCAATTGGACGCAGATGTATAAACAAAAATGCGACATAAATAATTGGAGGTTTGTGGATCGGCTTCCTCCCTATAGCCTCCGCAGGTTTGTTTACACTATAGGGGGCTAGGCGTGGTATCTGAAGGGGATTTCACGTATTGGGGACAATATAATGAACCAGGGGAGGAATACCTTGTGCGAACAAAGTGTGGGATTTTTATGACTTTTACCTTGCAGTACGATAGTGTATGCCATTATTAACTTAGGCCACTAATCCAACGCCTCCCTTTGAGTATCCTCTCGGCCCCCATGGGGGAGTTTTTATAGTTGAAGTTGGTTAGGTTATCCAAACAATAGTCTGGAGTTCAATTTGTTTGACTATGCAGCTATTGAGTGTTGAACATTCTACTTTTCTTGCGCAGATAATGCACCACCAACTGTCTTGATGTTTTTTTCTAAGATAGTTTTTGTTAGTTGTATTCACTATCAAATATGCCACTATTCATAAACAGTTGATAGTTTTTTCCAGAAATGTCCATCAACTTATCTATTTTAAGTCTGCTGCTTTCAAAAAAGTAAATATATTTTTTTACAATGATGAAATCCGGCTTTAATGTCATTAATTAGTTTTCAATTTGTAACACTTGTGGCGCCTGAGTCGTCTCTGAAGTCGAAAGAAGACATAATATTGAGGCAGTGCTGCCGTAGAGAAGGGCTAGGGGAATACTGTTACGGCCTGGAGGCCAATAGCTTAGCGGTTATACAAAAATGGAGCCTTAAGTAACTGTAAAAATAAAGCGAAAAGTTAACAACTTAGTCTGGGTATTACAAGACCCCTCTCTTCTTCAGAACGCCGTCGGCTATTACAAAGTGGTCGGCGACGAAGGATAAACATCCACTAGCCAAACACGTCAGTCATCAAATTGGCTTACAGCTGAGAAGACATTTGACAGCAAAGTCACTGATGATTCCATAGGATCTGCAGTTTTGTCCTGTATAGTAATTGGATTCAGGAGGGGTTGGAGAGTGTGGAGGCTACCTCATTTGTTTAATTCTGGTCTTAAGAACACTGGCCTTAAAGCAGATTCATTTATTTAGAGTAATGGTTTATAATAGATTCGGGGAGATAGGATTTTTCATCTCCTTGCTACTTTGTTCTCACTTAAGTGCAGCCCTGCCATATCTATCCTTGTCCAATCCAGTAAGTCGAGAGGTGGAGGAATTATAGTGTGTTCAATTAATTGACCTAGGCACTGCTGACAGCTTCTTCACATCGTTCACGGCTAGTGTCACTTCAGTTGTTAACAGCATTCCCACAGACCTTGAGACCAAGGTATTTGCACAAATTTTCCCATTAGGGACAGGTACCCTCCTTCCCTAACGTTAAGCTTTACCTTTCAGTAATGGGAACTAGGATAGTTGTTCCTTATGATCGCGTTCGCTTTTCGCTGTCACCAATATAGCGCCCGGAGACTCTACCGAAGACAAATAAGGCATAATACTAGGGCAGAGTATGTATAGCAGAAGTATAAAAGGGTTGAGGGGATTCTGGCATGGCCTAGAGACCAATCCATTCAGCGAAAGCATAATCACAGACCCTTAAATTTCAGCTAAACCATAAACAGAGATAAATAAAAAGATTGAAGCACCCAAATTAGACATTTCAGATCTGTGTAATGTTAAAGTATGATTGGCTTTCGATTTTATTTAGGAATCGGAACTTGAAGGCAAAGTAACAGCAGTTAAAGAGTGAGGCCTGCATTTATTTTTTTGGCATAATTCACTACTATATTAGTGCACTTCCCTTGACGTTTACTCAGTACATTTGAAAGTTTAGCCAGACATGAATATTTTAGAACGACGGAGCCATCCCAAGATGACCTGCGTAGCCGTGCTATCTAGGTTGAAATGTGAAAAGGTGTCTTGTTAGCTGTATACACCGAGTCCAAAACTTGGTCACTCGCTCACATTTGGGACTTCACCCGCTGTAAGTTTGAAGGGACAAGTGGTATGGACTAGAAATAACCGCAGCCAAAATTGCTACTGACTTAAAAAGAAGACCGATTGAAATGTTTCCACCAAGTAACTGCTTTGTGGCTGCAAACGCCAGTTGATACCAGTACTTTCTGGTCATACTCCCACAACGGGCTGTTACATGGGTAGGCCAACACTGAGAGTCACCACTATCAGCAAAAGTGTCCAGACAGCACTAGCAGGGAATGCCAAAGCTGGCTATTAAAAATAGAAGGGATTTTTCGCGATAAAAGTGCTAATGCAGCAATAAAAACACTATTTTGCTACTGAAAAATCTCATATTTATTAAATAACTGTGGAAATGTTTAAACGGGATTCCTTCTGAAATAACATTTACCCTGAAGTACTAAGTTACGTCCCTAAATTGTTTTGGAAATTTTTATAAGGATCTTGTAAACTACTGTGCATGGAACATGAACCTCATTATTTTGAGTACAGAGGAACTAAAATGGGTTTCAGAAAATGGATCTAACATTACATGATTCCTTAGGTATTCATTGCCGAATTTCGCATATCGTTCAGCATTTGTTTTTTTCCTTAAGAGTTGTCAAAAACATTTTCTTATTCTCAATACTGCCAAAAATGCAGTTGTTAAATTACACCATAAATTTTGTTTATATTGATCAAATGTATGAAAGCAACCTTTTACTGTTTGAGTTCTATTTTGTAATGTAGGCAAAAGTTGCGGCGTCAATTTGGTGCTACTAGAGATTTTTCTAAAGGAAATTAGGCCTTTCACAAATTTGCCTTGAATGCTCACAAAATAGCATCGAAATGGAACAATTTGCAAATTTGCATATACGCCGAGTTCCGAAGCGAGAGTTCTTTAACTTTTGATATTAATATACACCGATTTCAAAATTGGTTTTACTGCTCTACCAACTTTATTTACAATACCTCTAAGTCTATATAGGCATAATTTGGATTTTTTATGGCCCTAAACAGGTTTTCAGGAAGACCCTAAATGTACGAGTGTGCTACCAGGCTAAAGGTGTAAGCTGTATTTTGCTCTTGTGCTTTTCATTAAGGACTAAAATTCAAATCCTTTGATAGTAACTCAGGGGTTACCTTAAAATGCTCATAAGATAACCTTTTTGATGCTAATGGTTAGTTTTGTGCATGACTTGTAAATTTTATCCTCTTCTTAAAGACCACTCGATTACTGAAGTGAAAACGATCCAATGTTAAAAATTGTGATCAAATGGTCAAATTCGCAATTTCTATTAGATTAAATTAAAGTGGAATGTGCAAGCTGATCTACATTAGAGGGACAGTAAAATCGCGCCTAATAGGTTTTTGTATAGAATGATGTTGTATTACCTGGTTACAGTTTAACACCCTAATCAAAAGCGCTACCATGTAAAAAAGCTACACGTAATCCACGGCTTTACTTAAGTTGGAGGAATCGCACCCTAGGCCTATTATTCAGAATATTCCATACAGCATAGCGCAAATATGCTCTAGTTATGTCCATCTGTCCCTCAGTGTGGCTTTTAATCACTTGGTATGATATTGTCCGAAAAAAATAATTGCAGTGTTATTTGTGCCAATAGGCGAAGAGTCTACGACTTATAAAATCTCTTTCAAGACGACATTTATAAATACAAATTATTAAAAAAAATCTAGAATCGAATGATAAGCGGAGAGCGTAATAAACCTGGGCCATAACTGTCACGCCACTTGATCTACTCTAGGGAATACGGATAGTCGTGGTGGATGCTGCAGATAGTGCATAATAATGAAGCGCCAGTAGTGTAAACAGAGGTGTAGCCTACCCGTCGGTCATCAAAGCTGGCGACAGCAGAGAGCTCGCCACGCCACTGAGGCTTGATTAATGGACCTGCATGCATCAACTGCGGTGTGCCTTTGCGCTGCGCATGTCTACACTTTGCACATTATCTCAGGCAGTTCTTCGCAGAAACGAGTACAGAATCACGCTGCTTTTTAAACTTGGCATCGTTTGCTTGCACCAAGTTGATGTGTATTCCATGATATGACCCGTTTTGAGGCCATGTCTTCCCTTAAACTGGGAGTTATTTAATCTTCTCCCACTTAAAAGTCGCGTTAGGCATTTCATACCAATTTTACTGTTTTCTAAAGAACTCCAACCCAAGTGACCGACTTTTATTCTAAATTAAATTAAAACTACCGCTTCACACAATAATGATTAACTCGATAGTTAACGTGGTACAAATAAAAGCTTAGGCAGGCCGACTACCTAGACTGTTAACTAACATTTCAACATTCTTAGTAGGCGTAAGGTTTTTCCTGGCAATACCTATGCCACAGGCAACATCAATTAAGTAAATGTGGCTCTGAAGGCAAATTGCTGTGGGTTTTCAAGAAATCACTCTGAATCGGACTATTTCTTGTTCCAGGATCCATGATTGGATCCGCATGCTACTTAAGAGTAGCAGAAGGAATTTTCAGATGACTACTTTCTTCAAGCCCAATTGTTGTTGTTTATCTCATGATGGGACACTTACTAAAGCAGTTATTTATCAAAGATTCCTATTATATTTACTTTACAAACAAGTAAAAGACCTAAACACGCCCACCATTTCCTTAATACGAGTTAGAAAGACGCATGCTAGTTGTAGAAAACCATTGTTTTGATTTCATCCCTAACGATTGTTAAACTAAGAGTGGTGTCTATTGGCTTATAAGTGCTGGTTGCCAAAATAAAGATCTTTCTTTTTTTTTGTAAACTTGACGCCTTAATTTGACTCAAATAAGGGGCGTTTGGCCTCGATGATTCCTGTAGAAGTGGAAAGTATTTACTATCACGACTTCGCACCCACCGAATGTGCTGGACAGAAAGCAAGATTGATTGAAACCCCTCATGTCATAAATGTAATGATAATAAAAATTAATTAACAACATCCTCTCTTCTTTGTTTAATGACACTAACAGAACGTGTGATTCACTTGCAAACAATGCGTCCTCACAAAATGCGGGAGTGACTAAAGCACAACCGCACCGCATTCGGCTAGGCAAAGAAGTATCCTTCCAATAAGTATAAATCTGATGGGGTAAAATTACGTCAGGTAGCAGTAATCTCGCTTCTATTTGAGACTAACCAACAAATTTACTCAAGAAAGTGGATAGTTACACTGACACTGACTTGGTGTAATGGTAATTCCTGTTGTCACACATTTTTGGCATGAGTGATTGACATAATCAACAATCGTACACTTGCTGTCAGTCTCAGTGATAGCTCATCAATTCTAAATCATGATGGACCCTTTCTCTTTGACTTAAGCAACACCTGTCCTCCAATTGTCCTCATTCTCAAAGGCGGTAAACAGGAGGTCTGTGGTTTGTAGTGGCCCCTGGATTATCAATACCTGACCTCCAGTGGTAGCGACAACTCTCCCCTGAAGTGGAGTCACCATGTTGTGAGTTTCTCAAAGGCCACCTTTTCCTACTAGTGTCATGTGACCGCGGTCAAAACCAGTTCCTGGTCGCCCACCATCACAGCTGGCAGGCGAATCCGCATCTAGGATACCCTCTCCAGCCAGGCTCTGCGCTCTGTCAAGACTGAAAGCCAAGTATGCAATCTGGAGTGGTCGGAGCACAACAGTGAATTAGTAAGAACGTACGGCTACTCATAGAATCAGATCCTTGTGGGGTAATAGTCCTCCCTGTGCCAATTGGTTAAACTTACCAGCCACTCTTCTAGTGTTTTCCCCCTCACCCTCTCTCCCAACCTGGAAAACATTGTCACCAGCGAAGGTGACGAGATTCGGAACTTCTGCATTGTCCTCTACTGCATCAAAAAGAACAAGTTATTATCAGCTTTTAACTTTTTTCGAGCTGTTTAAGGAGGTTTAAACGTAGCAGTGTTATGAGGTTTGAGATACTCTCGCTTTTCTTAGTCGCAACCATCGGCATCTGCTGATCCTCTCTACGCAAATATGCACCACCTTTACCAGCCAACGGAAAAATTGTTCCAATGGTTTTTCACTGCCATTAGCACACCTCATCATGTTCAGAATTTCGAATCCTTTGACTTGATAGAGTGACTTTATGGGTTGAAACACACTGAATCCAAAAAGATAATGATGAAATAACCATTTGTAAAAGTCGAAATAATCCAATACTCCTTCAGAGTTTCCTCTCAGTAAGTTGTGAGGAACCAAAGTCGGCTGTAACAAGCTTTATAAAACACTGAAATAGAAACCGAGGCTAATCCTCTTGGTCAAGTCATGCTTCAAATACCACAATCGCGAATCACAAATTGAAGGTCTTTAACTGTCCCACAAAAGGTTCTCTAAACCATCCTTATTCGCTATCTGACCTCTACGCATGACTCCTGAGTTTGCTCTTCTCCCTCCGAAAGTTTTAGGAGATTCGCTGGAAACTTCTACACCTACCATCAGTACCCCAAACTTACTACTAGCAATAAAAAAAGTAATATTATGATGGGGGAAACAATTTCGCCATGCTTTAATCGACGGTTAGTCGGTGAAAGCAAACAATCTGTTTAAATACTAAGTTATCTCCTCAGTGCTTTTATTTTAATCTCCCAGTCTCCAAAATTCCATTCTCCCAAAGGCTGTAGTGGAACTTGTTCAGGGTCCCCTAATAAATCACGACATCTAGCATTTAGCCAATTTATTGAAACTTTGGTAAATGACTTAAATGTCTACTTATGGGAAAAGAATTGCATGCATCCGCTCTACTATTTCATAATAGGGAATCTTTAATTTCGACATTAATCCAAACTGTACCAGAATAGATGACTGTCATCCATTTTCACTCCAATCTGCGTGTTACTCGCTACACACACACCTGCGCCCACGTACACACACATCAGTAGTGTGTACGGGTACTAATACAAACGGAATCCGGATAAGTGGAGATTTATGGGATCAGGCTCCTCTCCCTCCAGCCTACGGCGATTTGTTTACACAATGGGGACTAGGTGCGGAATCTGGAGCAGATTCACCTGTTGGGGTCTGCACACTGAGCCATGGGAGCGGGTTTATTTTCTGATAAATAATAGCAGCCCTCAGACATTTTCTGTACCTCCTAGTTCACAAGGAAGATTTACCTTACCTACAGCTTGCATACCTTCCGTACCCTTGACAAATAATCGTGTGTGGAAAACCAAATACCGATGTCAACCGACCTTTCCAGACTTCTGCTGAAAGTCTATCATGCTCCAAAACCAGGATGCATTCATTTTGGAGAGAAATAAATATATAAAAGAGAAATTGCGAAGATAAATACACAATGCTACGGAGGCGAGTGCATGATATGCTGGGAGTCGGTTTATGTGTGAAATTGTAAGTTCAAAGAAAACTCAGGACTTGCCCTTAAAGGGCGATTCAGCTTAAGAAGCAGCAGTGAAGTAGGTGGGGACGGCGCCACTCGCCTACTTCAGATTAAGAGGATGTTGCGGCAAGGATGCCGAAGAATTGAATTGGAAGGCACAACTAAAACGAAAGAAACTGATTAGCATTATGCATGTAACTAAAATTGAAAGCTGTGGAGTAAAATTTTATACTTAAGTTGCCAGAAATTGCGTTTTTAATTTTTCCGTAGCTCCTAGATAAACCGACAAGTACGGAAGTTGGTGTTTACTAGATTTTAGTATGCCATAGCAATGGAGGTGGGTGTTTATGAACAACCGATCAGAATATGTACAATCAGGAAAAAATGGCTTAGTATTCACTTTTGGGAGATTGGACTCGTTGAACTCCAAAAGTTCTCATTCATTCGCTCAGTAAGCGGAGGTGCCTTGCCTATGCAGCTACTAGAGGTGGAATTCACTTGCGAGATGGGTGAAAGGGACCTGGCGATCTCGGATGGAATAATAACGAGGCAGAAGTCGCCAACCAAAAGCGGTCGACATGGCAAACCACATCGAGTTTGAGTGAGGTAGGGGTCGCATGAAAACCAGCCATGCGACCTGACGAAAAAGGGCTGCTCGCGGTTGCAGACGTGGTCAAACGTAATCACAGACTAAAATTTTTAAGTAAAAATAAAGAATACTAACATGACTAGTTGCACAATTTCCTGTAAATATTCTTTCACAACTGTTCTGCAATGCCATTACTTTTAAATTTCTTCAGTCGTTTGAAGGTGTTATGTAATACACGTCAAATCGGGAAGCAAACCTAAAGCAAATGTGGTTTTAGGGCAGGCTACTGGTGCTCCAAAAATCGTCCTATTTAATAGCACGTCGTGTTTCCTTGCAGTGTCGCAATTGTACATGCAAGCAAATGAGGAGCACTGCCCTTTAGATCTTTCCACTATGAAGCTTACTTAACTTTTTGTTTTCATTTAGTAGGTACGCAGTTTGTGATTGCGAAATTGAATCTCATTATCTCCTACAGCTCGAAGTATTGCAATTCCAAACAGCCTCAGGGCTTTTAATTTCTTCTGAAGGTCATAGTAAACAAAATAAAGGGTAATGAACAACACAATGACATATTTCCCAAGAAAGCTCAATAGCCCAGGCTGGGGTATAAGCACAAGAAAGTGATGAAAGATTCTAATCAAACATGGAAGAAAAATATGTCATAAAGTTGACGGAAAGTCTTACCGGTAAATGGTACTTATTCTTTCCACACACTCGACCTCTTAGGGGATTTAGTGAAAGGCGAATTTTCGTAAGCTCTTGATGGCAGCTGATTAGAGTTCTTTCCATGAAAATTTGCTCGATTCTAACCCAGTGGAGCAAAGATTTCGCATTGATTGGCGCAGCAGTTCGTAGAAAATCAGAAAGTCTGATTCCCTCAATTTTTTGAACGCTTCCATCCGGTAGTCTGACCTTACCACCATGTTCAGATGTCGATCCGAAGTGCCTTTTAGAGGTACTGGGAGGTATATGCCATCTCTGATGTGTAGGATGGTATGGCGATGAAAAGGAGGATTGTAGTGATTTCTTCTTTTGCAAGTGTGTGAGCAACGGGACAAAGAGATAGCAGGAGGCTGTTAAAGCTTTCAATGTCATTATTTTCTCTGGTGTCAGGATTTAATTTTTCGGGAAAGACGGAGTATCCTCTGTGAGGTGGAGGAAATGATTGCCATTTCCTGGCATTTGGTATGGAAGCAGAGTCATTTGATGACCTGAACGAAAGGCGATCAATTTGTTTTAAAAAGCCTTAAAATAGCTTCTCATAGTCTAGACAACTTTTAGTACAGCTCAAAATGATTCATTTTCTTCACACCTTTAAAATAGTTGAAAATTATTCAGAAAATATCTAAAGCTTACGTATTAAATCCGCTAGTAGTATATCGCTGATGTGTCACATGAATGAGATGTCCCAAGAAGTGTTTTTTCACGTGAAAAGCCATTTGACCGCAAGGAGATGATTGGTGAAAGTGCAGGTGCGTCCATGGTATTCACTCTCTGTCTCTGGTACGCGTAAAGGCTCGTTCCCATCTCTGAGCGGTTGATAGACCAACCCAGCCATTATTTACTGGCTCCCCGTCACGGCTTATCTGCATTAAGTCACCCAATCAGAAGCGTTAACCGTAATGACAAATGAATTTTTGCTGGACTAGACGAAATTTTTCACTACAATTCCTCCAAAGCTTTTAGATAGATCTCAAAGATCCGTTCAAATGTCAACATTAAGCGTCTGTAGAAGTTTTAATCAAAGAAAAGTCGAAATCTACCGGAGAACTCCAATTTCATTCCACAAATTCTTGTTCGTTAATCATTTTCACTTTGCATAACTCCAATTTGCTTTTACAGAAGAGAATGTATTGCATCGTCGTAAACTGAGTAATTAAAAACTTACAAATGGGCAAGATAGAGCACTTGAATTATTCCTTTTTTTCCCATGAATACTATGAATATGTGAACTGAAACAGAGTCACTTTAAAGCGTTTAAAAGTTTATGAAGGAACACCGCTGGGTACGGCGACGTAGTATTTAAAAAATAGAGGATAAGCACAGGTTGTAATAAACACACTGCACGTGCTGTTCTTTTACTCTATCGACTGAAAATTCTCACGGTAACTTTTCTAGTCACTGCTAATGCATATTCTCTTGGATGCTTTCGGTTTCGAAATCAACGTTATGCACACTTTTCGTGTAACTGGGAGCAATGAAACTAAGCGTAATGCTGAAAATGTCTATGGCCTAACTACCTTCCATTTTTACACTACTGAGCCCTAAATCTCTTTCGTCGTCTACTTTTGACCTGTCTACAGTAATTGCGTTAGTGTTATGTGGCAGTATAATAAACAGTGTGTTTGAATTTTGAGGGAAAATCATTTTGTTTTAAATAAAACAAACCTCATTAACATTTGTGGACTTACATATTTAAGTAGCACAGAGTTTTTAAATTCAAAAATGCCAAAAAACAAAATGATTAGGCGATTTTATGAAAATTATGCATAGTAATTTCATTCAAAGCAATTTATCCTCGAAAAATGATGGTTATACGTCTAAAAGTTCACTAAATTGAGTTATGACGACATGTAGGATCAGAATTGCCAGATAAAAAGGGCATTTTTAAAACTTAACGAGTAAGGCAAAAAAGTGGGGCAACCGATAGCACACCTACAATACATCCATTCTTACGTGGATGTGGCTACCCTCATGAGTCGCTATGGTCCGGTCCAAGAACCACCACTTAATTGATCCTTAGAGTTGCTTGAAACAAGCACATCGAGGGGGCGGATAATTAGAACCTCCTTCTACACATAAACAACCTGCCATCTGGCTTAGTTCAAGCTACATTGGGTGCCTGAGCACGCCCAAGTGTGTGAGGACGTGTTTACGTCTACAGACAAGAATCCGTGGCTTTATGAAGCCACAGATAGATGCAGTGTTGTGAAGCACGGATAGCGTAAACAACAGGGTCATCAAAACTGGCGACAGAACATGGAACAGTGATGCGAAGCCATCTAGGCACAGCTGATATTATCTGTGGCTCAAATATTTGCTCCACTTCATGCAGATTTGCCAGAAGAGCAAGGGTGAAATATGCGAGTAATAACCGGATACCTGCACCCGTTTTTCGGTTAAATTGCAAATCAAGGAAAGTGGAGTAGTTAAACTTCTTAATATTTTGGAGAGTTAGCGGCGATTTCAGTGACTTGGATACATGGCACTAGCTGTGATAAATTTGGAAATGAACTAACCAAAACCAAATTACAATTATTCCCTCTAACTGTATCATATGATGGGTAGCCGGGATAGATGGATAGAGGAATTCGCAACATACTGTTACGACAATTCTGGTTCCACAACATGTAGATTGACATCTCAACGTATTACAATTGAGGACTGTTTTTGTGGCGTGTTCTATGCGCGCGCGTGTGTGTGGGAACGCTGCCACGAGTTCCACCCCCCCCCCCCGATATACTCGATGAGGAAATATACTTGAATTTTGAAGTTTAAATAACTGCCGCCCTCTTCGCAAGGTGATATATTTTAAGCCTGTTTAGCCACTGATGAAGTGATTTCTAAAAACATGTGGCTGTTAAGTGTACAACCCACCTTTCTGTTTTAAAGAAGTAAGTTGGTTGTAAAATCGCAGTGTTGTTCGAACAGGAATTAGTCGCACACTTCATGAAACAGTTATAACAGGGAGGCCGCATGGACAAGAGATTTTGTCATAGTTAAAGACCCGTAGCATAAGCAGATTTTGTAAAAAGTGGAAAAAACCTTTCACTGCTAAATGAATTCGTCAGAATTTTCAAACCTTGAGTGAACTATCCTCAAGTTTGTGGGGATAAATGAAAAATATGACCATTTATATACTATATACCATTAGTTGTTGGAGTGATTCCCTCATTTTTTTAAATAATATGGGTTGTCAAATTTCACGACACTTCGCCTCACATCAAAATGATGCATAACATCTCAGGAGTTTGAGGTTTTAGCTTCATAGAACTGTTCATAGTCATGCTAATACAGTAGTATCAACTGCAATGAGTCATTGACAAGCAAATTTGCTAGCAAATGATATGGCAAATATTGGAGATGTAATTTAACCCATTTTAAGGCTTTTGGGTGACTTCCGAGGGTCTCCACTTCCATAGGCATATTGAGAAGAATTCATCACTTAATAGATGATTATTTTATCTTCTATTGACAGGAAATTCGACTAAAAAAATTATGGTGAATACACAGGCTGTTATCAGGAGCAATAGTTAATCAAGTGTAATGTTTTGTTATTAATTTATCTTTAACGCTACAAATAAAGCTGGCACACATAAAACAAGAGTCCTAATTTGTCAGTAAAGCTACCGTTGTACATGTTTTTTCGTTGACAAGATGTCATCGAAATACACTGCGCGTTACAAACTAATCAAAAGCCATTCGTAAAGTAACAGAACAGGGACGTGCAGTTTTCTTCAAGTTACTTTGACTCTGTAGAAGGTTGGGGTAGTGGAATAGCACTGGGGGTATCTGCACCACCAGAATGCCGCTGCTGTTAGAATTATAGGAAGTTTTAACTGATGGCCTAACTTTCAGACGTTCTAGGGGGTCATGTTCTCATTCACTTCCTTTAATTTGCCCAAATGAAGCAGCGATGTCCACTAATCACTATCACCAGGAGTAGTCAGTTGTTATAAGCAGGGGTAACCAAATCACTGACAGACTTACACCCAGGCAGTCTCCACTCTCTAGCCACTAGGAGCTTGAGGTCTGACCGTAACAATTATACCTACTCATTACGTCGGTAATTAAGACATCTGCCTGGAGGTCTTATCCACTAATCACCTGCTTGTTGACCCCGATGAAAATCCAGACAACCTCCGATCATAGAAACTCTAGGTTGTGACAACTGCTGACTCAGCTGCAATAATAAACGTGTTTATCTTAATGATTTCGCAGACCTTGGGTTCTTTATAAAATACTTTTTTTAAATTGGTAATGGATACATAATTTTCATAAAAAGACATCTTATATTTTATAAAGGAAAGAAATACTTCCAGAAATGCTGTTACTTAAATCACTTTCTGGAGACTTGGTGTTATCAGTTTGACACCTAGTTCTAAAGCTAAATTACGGTTGTGTAGTTTGTGTTGCTTTTTTTCCAAAGTAGTCTGCACTTCACTTTAGACTCCCTTGAGCCTTTTAAAACGCGTATATGTAGATGCCTCATTGCTGAAGAGTTCCTCTGGCTTTGGACAACGAGTTTGAAAAGTTGTGTCCAGCTAGTGGTCGCTTTGTCCTCTGGTATTCGAATAAGCCTAATGCTTTTTCAATTAAAACGAAGGGAACAAAATTGCCTCGATTTTTGAAAGTGGGTTACCATCATGCTCATCCTTGTGTAACTCTGTTTTGGGTTCAGGGTCAATTAAGTCTCCGAGTTTGTACTTCTACTGGGCGACTTGACCACTGGGCAACGTCAGTAGCCACCAAACCTTCTGCATATGGCACCACAATTTCTGCCCTGGCATCATGCCTTCCTCTACCCTTAGAAAAGTCTCGATGCACTACACTGGTGATGGCAGGACGTGAACCCGATGCTAGAAGACAACCACCGTGATTGCCATTGATGAATCCTAAACTTAACGTGACGCACGAAGGGCATTTGCTGTCAGTGGGAGAATTTGTCATGACCCTCAACAGAAGAGTTCAAAAATGACGTTCGCCTCAAAAAACTACCTCGGTTCCGTGTTTTACAGGAGTGCTGCTAACAACTGAAGCAACACCATCCATGAGTCATTTGAAAAGTTTGTTGCGGAACTATTGACCGCACCTGTATGAAGACATTAATGAAATGAATACGTGATACCTCCTTCACATTTCTACCAGATGGACAAAACTTAGGGATTTATGACTGGGGCCAGTGTCCTTACAACGCAATAGTCTGCACATTCTCCTCCTACCTTTCGCTTCTTAAACGAGGCAAAACCCCAAATCCAGTGGACTTGTCATGAGGGCTCAGTAACTCTGAGGTCGGACACCTCATTTGCATGCAAATTCAATGATTGGTACGATTGGTTCATGGGTGTTGTTTATTAACCCACCGACTATGTTGTGATGCCTGACGTGGGAGGGTGACCTACGTCATCGCCGGGGACGATGCTGAAAAGAAGTGAAGACTATGCAATAATTTATGATTTTAATTCTCCATTGTGGTTACGCTGACACTTAAGCCTTCGCTCTTGTCATTTTGCAGAGTAGAATGGCCCACAGGCCAGGCCAGTAGCCACAAGACCTTCCATACTTCGGCAGTACTTATTCTGCTTTAGTATTACGTCTTCCTTCGACTTCAAGAAGACGCAGAGCACGACAGAAGCAAGAGTTGTGAATGGCACACTCAGCGTGTTAAAATATATGGCCAAATTGTATCTTATTTAATGATGATAAAAACTAAAGATATTTGAAATAATTTGAAATATCTGCCTTGTGAAAGTAGAAGTAGGTAATCCCTGTGTTTCTACTGTCTACGCTCGTGCATATCTGCAGCTTTCTTGGCCTTCACCAGCATTGTGATGATAGGTGTGATCTTGTGGACCCACGTCTAGGCTACAAACCAAAGTACAAATTTTCCGTGCATATAGAATTGCATAATTACTTCTGCGTGAGTGTGTTGTAGAAGGTCACAAAATATGGTAGAATAAGTTGTGGTCTCATATGCTCACTAGCTGTACTTATTGCAGTGTGCTTAGGACAGTTTGCGCAAACTGAACGTCAAACTTTCTGCTTAACAATGAATATCACCCCGACAGACTGTTTCTTAAAAAGTGCAATCATTCCCTTTACTTTTGTTTGGCTGTGTGCAGCTAGTGTGATCCATAAAATTGAACAATTGTCATTGCAAAGCACCCATAACGAATAATAAATACTGAACCATATGAGCTAAAAACTGGTTCGGTTCAATCGCACTGTAATAATTGTAATGTAGCACTAGCTTTATATCGATGATGGCTGGAGCGCTCCACATTCTTCTTCCATTAGACCGCCTTCTTTAAGTTCCCATCCCACCTCAGTCTAACGGGATACTAACTTTGACACAAAATTTAACCAAGGGAGGATCCTAATGGTGGAATTATTTTTATGGTTGCAGAATAAAATCGTCATTTTTATCTGAG